AAGAGCGGACTGGAAAGAATTAGCAAGGTAGTATCTCCAGGTTTTTGGTTACTATGGAAGAGTCTGAGGAGTAGGAATTCTTGAACTTTGGAGAGAGATGTTCTGCTGCTCATGAAAGCGCCTGTATTGCTTAGCTCCAAAACAACAAAAAGTCTCATAAATCAGTACGGTCATGGTTGTCTTGTGTTATTTTATTGAAGACTTACTGTTAGAATTCATATTTATCATACTGAATCACAATGAATCCTGGCAATAGGAATACTAACCATGAAGACGTTTGGAATGCAAATCCACATTTAACATATATTCAGAGATAATTGTAAGATATGTAGCCTTTATGGAATTCTTTCTTCATATTCTGTTCGGGTCCAGCTAGCTATCAGATATTTTTGAGGCCTATCTTGGATTTTTCTGGATTGGAAATATGAATTATCAATTCTGGGGTTCTTTCCAAAATACATGGAAGTTGTCAGGCAATAGTTTTGAGCCTATTTTTAAAGACAGGAATGGAAGAATCTTTTTTTGTAGTCTAGATAGCGCATATTTTCTTAATTACTTAATCAGAACACTCATAAATATTGTTCTTCTGGATCAAATATTTGTGAAATGGCCAGATGAGCATTTGCAGTCGTGCTAGCTAACTCTGTCAAGGGAAATTAAAATACACTATAAATACTACTTGAGACAAACCTTTGTGGCAAGGTTGGAATGAAAGGGCTTATCTACCCTTTCAAGAATACGTTTGGTTCCAGACGAATGTTAGCTTTGTTGAAAAGGGGTACATTCAGAAACGGTTATTTTCAACTGCAAGACATTATTCACAGCTCAGAAATCATCTCTCATGCAAATAGAATTTGCTTGCTAAAATAGATTTGTAGTAGACAGAAAAGAATGTCAACTGATTCATTTGTAATAGTTCATCCACTTTCTACTTCCTTTGAAATTTCTTTCAGGATGTGCTGAAATAGAAGTGAACTTAGAAAAACTCCTAGTCACAGTGTCCCTATAAGCAACATAGTACATGGTGCATCTTTTAAAATTTACCATTATTGGATCTTTCCACATTTTCATATGTCACAATTTCCACAGATGCATACTTACTCCTTTTCAGTCACAGTCATCCATACTATATTCCTTTTGAATCGCAGTCATTTATACTATGTTCTTTATTAGCAATTAATCACTTTATTTTGCAATGGAGGCTTGAGTTTAGGATATTTCTAAAATTTCTAGAAATGGAAGAATCTTCTCTTGATGTAAAAAATCAATCAAAATATTCAAAATAGGGTAAGGATTATCTGTGATGCCTGCAGACGTGAAGGAAATAGGTTTCCTTTTCCAAAGCTACTGAATTTTAGGAATTGGGGAGGGGCCTGGGCGAGGGAAACCCCCACCCCCCAAGATTCTTATGCAGATATGAAAGGCAGGGAAATACAAATTTCCTTCATTTTTCCAGGAAGTTTGCTTCCTGGAATGAGTTCTGCTAGCACACCTTTCTCCCAATTAGAATTTCAATAGTTCAGTGGTCCCCCGGTATTTTGAAGTTATTGTGTGTGGAGAAACGTTAGGAAATTATTTGGTATTTTAAAGTGTAGTCCACTTCTAAATATTGTATGCTGTAGGGCTAATGCGGGAAGGGTTTTTTAATGCATAATTTTAATGCCTTATACAAGGCTAGGCTGTCAGTCTCATTGTAATTTTACGTAACAGAGTGTATGGACAGTATCTTTTACACATTTGGGTGCATTTTCAGAGCTTCCTGGGATACACTTCACATAGAATTATCCCTGAAGGATAAAAGAGACCAGTAGCTCCTTCTTACATAAATATCTGTGGAGAATGTTTCAGCAAATTTTAACTTAATGCTTTTGAAGTTTTCAGTGCTGCCAGTTAAGTTTATGTAAAGAATGCATACGTTAGCTGTAACTAGCTGTACTCTGACACTTCTTTTATAAATCACGTTTTTATGATCATTTAAAAAAAATTTACAAAATTTTTCTCAATTATGAAACAAATTTATAATTATGGAGTGAAATTTTGATTACTTCATTCTCACATTTACAAAATTGTGAGACTTTTTACCACGTCATTTCAGATTAATGGAATCACAATAGCTTCTCACTGCTATTAGCTGGCTTCATAATTTAAAAAGCATCTATCAAAACCCAGTATCAGTTAGCTGGAGGGGTTTTTTAAATCTATGATTCACATTAGGCAAAATGCTAATTTTATTGTGACGCTTCTTTATATCATTGCTAAATTATTTCGGTAGTTTCGTGGTAGGAAGATATGTTATTAATTTACTCTCTGGAAAATTGTCAACTGAAAATTTGAATAAAATGATTGTCTCTTATTCTTTATATCTAGTTGATTCTTCCTGCATTCCTTATTTATTTATCTCCTATGCTTATCTTCTGTGAGTAATGGGACACCTCTGTAGCTTTGCTTGCTCTTGTGCGCTCTCCTTTTGTTGTTTCCCTTGGAAAATGTGGATCTGGTTTGTTT